GTGCAAGCTGCCACCCCTTCTCTTGACCTCCACCTCCGCAACTCCCCCAGGGCCAGTCTGTCACATCCCCGCTAACTAGCTGGAACCAGCCTCCTTCTTGGGCCCCTTCTCCCTGCACCTCTGCAGCCCTTGTCACACAACCACTGGCCACCCACCTCTGTCCTGTGGCTTCCAGGATGCCCTGGCTCCTGGGCTTCCTACTCCTGTCCCCCAGCCTCACAGACATCAGGCTTCCCTGCTGCTCTGCTTTCTTGATCTTATCTCACCTCCTGGCTTCAGATGCTGCCTACATGCAGACAGCTCCCATTTACACCCAGGCCAGACATCTGCCCTGAACCCCAGACACACACATGCCCAGCTGCTTGTGGGCACCTCACTGGGTGTTGCAGACTTACCATCAAGCCAAGCTTGGGGCCGCTGCCCCTTGTGCCGGCCCTGCTTCCCATGCTGTGTCCCCACTGCATCTTCATCAGTGAGTGCAGAAACCTCAGAACCAAATCTCCCATGTGGCCTCCCACCCCCACTGCAGTAATAGTCTCCTACAAAGTCTCCCGACCTCCCTCCTGCCGCTGCCTGCTTTAGCCAGAGTCATCCTGCAGCAGGGCTGATCCACCCATTCTCAGCCCAGACGCCTGCTGGCTCCTCATCCCCCCAGAGTTCCACGCCCTCCAGCCCCACCACCTCCCTTGCCATGGGTATCTTTCTCCATCACACTTGACAACATTGTTAATCTTTCTTTACGTTGATGATTGTCCACTGCTCCCAGACCAAAATGTGAATCCACAAGGCTGGATTTTTGTCACCTGCTGTATCTGTAGTGCCAGCACATAGTAGGTTTGCTATAGGTATTTGTTGAATGAATCAGCATCAGCAAATATGATAAGAAAATTGTCTGTTTTTCTAGGCTAGTTGATCTGCTAACACAGAAGCTGTTCCTAAGGTCAGCAGTGCCACCTGAACACCCTCAGGGACCCATCTCTGTCTGCCAACCACTCCCAAGAAGATTCATTTCTAAATTTTTTTGTCCATATTGTAACTATTGTGTATTAATCCAGCAATATCAAATGAATTTAAAATGTTTTAATAGCTTTTTTAAAAAGACTTCATTTTTTTAATTGAGAGGTCACAGCAAAATGGAGGGGAAGGTACAGAGATTTCCCATATACCCCCTGCCCCTGCATGCAGCCTGCGCACTCGCTCCTGACATCCCCACCAGAGAGTGCATTTGCTACAGTTGATTAACCTGCATGGACACATCACTGTCACCCAAAGGCTAGCATGTATGTTAGGATCACCCTCAGAATACGTTCTGCGGGTTTGGACAAACGTATAATAGCAAGAATCGACCACTGTGACACCATACTGAGTCATTTCCCTGCCCTGAAAATCCTTTGTAGTCTGTCTCTCCTGTGACCCTAGATCTTTGTACAGTCTCTATAGTTTTGCCTTTTCCAGGCTGTCATAGAGTTGGAATCACAGTATGGAGACTTTTCAGACTGGTGTCTTTTGCTTAGTGATACACATTTGAAGTTCCTCCATATCTTTCCATGGCTTGATGGCTCATTTCTTGTCAGTACTGAGTGATAGATACTCCATTGTCTTGGTGGACCATTGTTGTTTTTATCTATTCATCTGCTGAAGGATATCTTGGTTGCTTCCAAGTTTTGACAATTATAAATCTGTAAATATATGTATACAGGTTTTTTTGTGTGGACATAACTTCTCAGTTCCTTTGGATAAATACCAAACAGTGCAATTGCTGGATTATATGGTATGTTTAGCTTTGTAAGAGACTGCCAGAGTGTCTTAATAGAGTGGCTGCACCATTTTGTATTCCGACCAACAGTGAATCAGAGTTCCTGTTGCTCCACATCCTTGTCAACATTTAGTGGTGTTGATATTCTGGATTTTGGCCACTCATAGGTGTGTAGTTGGTTTCTCATTTTAATTTGCATGTCCCTGATGACATACAATGAGGAGCATCTTTTCACATGCTTATTTGCTATCTATATATCTTCTTTGGTGAGGTGTGTTAAGGTTTTTGGCCCATTCTTTAATTGGGATGTTTGTTTTGGTTGAGTTTTTAAGAGTTCTTTGTATATTTTGGATAAGTCTTTTATCAGTTATGTCTTTGCAAATATTTTCTCCCAGTCTATGGCTTGTCTTTTCGGGCTCTTAACATTGTCTTTTGCAGAAAAGAGGTTTTTTAATTGTAATGAAATCCAACTTATCAATTGTTTCTTTCATGGATTATACCATTGGTGGTGTATCTAAAAAGTCATTGCCATACCCAAGGTCATTAGGTTTTCTCCTGTGCTATCTTCTAGGAGATTTATAGTTTTTGAAGTTTTATACTTAGGTCTGTGATCCATTTCGAGTTAGTTTTTATGAAGTGTGTAAAATCTGTGTCTAGATACAAATTTTTTTATTATGTAAATGCCCAGTTCTAGTACCACTTGTTGCAAAGATTGTCTTTGTTCCCTTGTACCACCTTTGATCCAATGTCAGAGATTGGATGACTGTATTTATGTGGATCTGTTTCTGGGTTTCCCACTCTGTTCCACTAAACTATTTGTCCTTTTGCCAATACCGTGCTGTCTTGCTGTGTCTATACAGAGAGTCTTGACTGTAACATTAGTCCTCCAGCTCTGTTCTTCTTCAACACTGTGTTGGCTATTCTAGGTCTTTTGCTTCTCTTTTTAAACTTTAGATTTATTTGTCAATATCTACAAAATAACTTGTTGGGATTTTGATTGAGACTGCATTAAATCTATAGATCAAGTTGAGAACAAACATCTTGACAATAGCAAGTCTTCTTATCCATGAACATGGAATATCTCTCCATTTATTTAGTTTTTCTTTTATTTCATTCATCAGAGTTCTATAATTTTCTTCATATACATCTTGTACATATTTCATTAGATTTATACCCAAGTATTTTGTTTTGAGTATACTAATGTAAATGGGATATGGTCTTAATTTCAAATTCCACTTGTTCATTCATTGCTGGCAAATAGGAAGGTAATTGACCTTTGTACATTAACCTTGTATCCTGCAACCTTGCTATAATCACCTATTAGTTCCAGGAGTTTGTCAATTCTTTCATATTTTCCATATAGATGATGTCACCTGCAAACAAAGACAGTTTTATTTCATCTCTCCTAATCTCTATTTTGCCTTTTATTTCCTTTTTTTTTTTCACAATTTGTATACCTTTTGTTTCCTTTTCTTGTCTTACTGCATTAGCTAGGACTTCCAGGATGTTGAAAAGCAATGGTGAGAGGGGGTAGCCTTGCCTTGTTCCTGATTTTAGTGGGAAAGTTTTGAGTTTCTCACCATTAAGTATGATTTGTAACTGTAGGCTTTTTTGTAGATATTTTTTATTGTGTTGAGGAAGTCCCCTCTATACCTAGTTTACTGAAAAGTCTTATCATGAATGGGTTTATCATTAATAGATTTTGTCAAAATGCTTTTCTGCATCTATTGATACAGTGATGTGATATTCTTTTTTAGCCCATTGATGAAACGGAGAACATTAATTGGTTTTGTAAGTTTGAACCAGCCTTGCATACCTGGAATAAATCCCACTTTGTCTTGGTATAGAATTGTTTTTATATATTGTTGGATCAAATTTGCTAATATTTTGTTGAGGGTTTTTGCATCTGTGTTCATGAGAAACAATGGTCTGTAGTTCCCTTTTCTTGTAATGTCAGTTTTATAGTTGGATAATGCTGGCCTCATAGAATGAGTTAAGAAGAGGGATTTTTTGTAGAGGTTCTTTGTCAAAAATCTTTGGTTTTGGTATGAGGGTAATGCTGGCCTCATGTGAATGAATTAGAAGAGTTCCCTCTGCTTCTGTTTTCTGGAAGAGATTACAGAGAACTAGTATAATTTCCTTCTTAAAGATTTGGTGAACCCATCTGTGCCAGGTGCTTTCTGCTCTAGGTCATCAGTTATTGGTGCCATTTCACAGGTATCATCTGTTCTTACATGAGTTGTGGCAGGTTGTGTCTTGTGAGGGGTGGTCATTTATCTAGGTTACCCAGTTTGAGGACAGAGTTGTTCAGAGAACCAACTTTTGATTTTGTGGATTTTCTTTATTGATTCCCAGCTTTCAGTTTCATTGATTTCTGCTCTAATTCTTTCTGATTTCTTTTCTTCTGCTTGCTTTGAATTTAATTTATTCTTCTTTTGCTAGTTTCCTAAGGTGGTGCTTTAGATTATTAGTTTTAGGTCTTCCTTCTTTTCTAATACATGCATGCAATGCTGCAATTCCCCTTTAAGTACCACTTTCACTGCATCCCACAGATTTTGACAAGTTGTGCTTTCATTTTCATTTAGTTCAAAATATTTTTTAATTTCTCTTGAGCTTCCTTCAACAATTATGTGATTTAGAAATGTGCTGTTTAGTCTCCAGCTATTTGGGGATTTTTTCCAGTTATCTCTGTTACTTATTTCTAGTTTAATTCCATTGTGGTCTGGGAGAAGACATATGATTTCTGTTCTTTTAAATTGGTTAAGATATGTTTTATGGCCCAGAATGTGGTCTGTCTTGGTGATATCTTGGTCCATGGGACCTTGGTAAGCGTTAATGTTTTTGAATGAAGTGGTCTGTACGTGTCCATTGTATCCAATTTATGTCCCTACCAGTTTTCTGCCTGGATCTGCCCATTTCTGATAGAGTGGTGTGGAGGTCCCCAAATACACTAGTGAATTCATCTGTTTCTCCCTGAAGCGCCTACCAGTTTTGCCTCACGTAGTTGGATGTCCTGTTATTAAGCGCGTACATATTATGGATCAGTATGTCTTCTTGGAGAACAGACCCTTTATTGTTATGTAATGCCTTCTTAATTCCTGGTAACTTTACTTGCTTTGCAGTCTGCTGTGTTTATAGCTGTTTTACTTGAATATGAAGCTTATCTCTACTGTTTATTATTTTCATAATAGTAATTGGTTTAATATTATTTTTAACATTTTAAAGGTATTTTGCTGTTTTACAGAGGTCCTCAAAGCAAGCAGTATCCTGTTCCCTGACATCTTGGTGAAAGAGACAGAGGCTGTCCTTCACAAGCACCGCTCTCCTGTCTACTGTGAGCGGCTCCTGCAGCATGTTCGGGCCTTGCCGCCTGCCCAGTGATCAAGTTCTGGGAGTGGAGCCTTTAGTGCAGCAGCTGGAGGTGGGAGTGAACACCAGCTCTCGTCCTTACCTGGACTTGGCCTTTTAACCTCATGACAGGGCACCTTTTTTTTTTCTCAGACATAATACATTTATTTAATAAACAAAATACATTGATGAGGGGATACAGGTGTGTTTCCATAATAACTTGTTTTAGCATATGCTGCCTGCTGTGAGTGGCTCATGAGAACCTGGGGTATACAGAGAAAGGCTTTAGATCTTTTCACAAATTTCTTAGGATAGAGTTGTCCAAAAGTGATGGCTCAAGCCACTTTGCTGAATTCTGTTTTTGTACTTTAGAAAATACCCCCTATCTAACCAGTTTCTTTTTACCATGTGTATTATATGTGTGTGTGTCTGTGCGAATTTGATAAACACACATATACACCAATTCCCCTTTTCATAAAATGTCCCCAAAAGTTAAAAACAAAACAAAAACCCGACAGCTAAATACTATGACATCCCAATTAGTAAACACAAAAATGAATAAAATATACCATATGCACTCAGCTTCCACATGGCAGTACCCAAGTAAGGAGGCTGCTGCAATGATGTCTGTAGGCAGTTTCTTTTGGCAGACAGCTCCAGCGGAATTGCCATTCTCAATTATTAAGTTATGTGTAAGACGTGTGACCCATTGGATTTTTGTGAAATAACACCCATGCTTCTGTTCATGCCCTGTTCTGTCCATTCCCCAGCAGCTGTCTGCCTCAGAGCCCGAGGGCTATTGCAGACTCCCATAATGCTACCTTGGGACCCACCTTGCATTGGATGGCTCCAGGCTTCTGGTGGGCCACCTATGGGATGCCCCCAGTGAGGTTTTGGACCCCCAGTAGGATTGTGAGGCCAACCAGAAGCTCCAGGGGAGCTGTGGCTGAATGCCTCAGGGGCAAAGTTAGAAAGGACCGTGTTACTAAAACCTAGTCTCACACTTTCAGAGTTGAAAGCTTCCATCTCTCTTGCTTGATGCTCCAGCAGGCTTCATATTCGTTCAGTGCGTTTATTCTGCAGTGTCAATACCTCTTCTTCAATCTTTGTTCTAAGAGTGTCTTGTAGAGGAAGACCCTCTGTTCAAGCTCCTGAAGCTCTCGATCATGTTGTGCCTCAGCCTGCATCTTGATTTTGCTCTGATATGCATTCAACAGCTCCAGTTCCCACTGCAGCTGCATTTTCAAAATCTGGCACTCTGCTTCCTGGGCTTCATCCAAACACAGCTTCAGACTCTTAGGCTGTTGTCGAACCTCCATGACATGCTTTTGCCTTAGTTCTCATTCTCTTTGTTTATTATACTCCCACTGGTTAGTGAACTCAGTTTGATGCTGCAATCTGATCTACTCACAGCGCATCTTCTGAATTGTGTTGAGGTGGCGCAACTCCAGTTCTTGCATGGATTCATGCTGCAGTAGCATCGCATGCTTTAAGTCCTTTTGAGTCCACTTTTTATTTAACTCCTCCGTGACAAGGTCCTGCTCCAAGTTATGGCACCCAAGTAACATCTTTCCTTTGAAGCAATGGCGTTGCAGCTCTAGGTTCTGTCTCTGACATTGAAGATTAGTCTTTTCCTCTGCTTGGAAATTCTGTATATTCTCTTTCTGCTTTGAAAGCCATTCCTGTTTTCCTTTTTTGGGGGATGCTCTGGTTTTCATTCAGCTCCTTAGGCTGTTCCTTTCGAAGTTTATATTCTGTCTTCTGGACTTCAAAAAGCTATTCAGTTCTTTCTTCTTTTGGGCCTGAATACTTTGCTGAAATTTTTTCTCCTCATTGGACATCACTTTAGCCTCTTTTTCCATCGTAGCCTGATGTTTCCTGGTAAGTTTCTTCATTTTTGCAGCAAAGTTGTTACACTAAGTTTCAAGATCTTTGTCTAATATGAGACGATGCTCATCCATCTTAGCCTTTAGCTTATTTTCCAGATTTATCAGCTGTTTTTGATGTTGCTGCGTCATTCTCTTACCGCCAGACATTTGTTCTCTAAGCTCAGTTTTCTGCTCATGTTCTTGCATTTGCCTTATAGCGGGTTTTAAATGGATGACAGAACTATTAGACGTGACTGTGGTCTCCCTCCATCACGTCTAGCTCATTCTTGTCATCTGAGGCATCTGGAAGACTGTTAACACTACTGCTTTGACTGCTGGCCCTGTTGGACATACTGGGAATAGACTGTTCCTGTCTGTCCAACACTGTGATCTTGTTCCTCTTCTTCCTGTGCTTCTACTGCTGGTCCATTATGTGCCTCCTCAAAAAGGACGTTCTTCATCTTTCAATACTTCAGATTTCCAGCTCTCTTTCTGCATCCTTTGTCCTTTGAATGAGATCTATTAATACTGTTGCAGGGCACTCCCAAAGAACAAACCCATGCTTTAAAAGTTCCTCTGATGAAGAGCGATCTTGAGGGATTTTCTGGAGGCAAGAGTCTACAAAGTTGTGAAAATAATCAGACCAGTCATTAGACTGTAGTGTAGGGGATTCATTTTTGGCTATGTGACATAGGCACTTACTATAGTCATATCAAATAAAGGAGGCTCCCTTTCTTTGATATGAAGTTCAATACATGTTATTCCAAGAGACCATACATCTATTTTGCTATAATACTTTTCTTCATCCATGGCTAAAATTATTTGTGGGGCCATCCAATATGGTGTTCCCACAAAAGAATTGGCAGGAGAGGCCATGGAAGCAATGACAGAGCACCTTTTTGTCAACAGCTAAGGACATTCACAGGTGAGACTTTTGATAGCAAGAAGGATGTATTCTCTAAGATACACGCCTAGTAGTCTCTGGCACAGTTTTCCACACCCAGCCATTTCTAAAATAGCATTCACTGAGTGGCTTCCATATTTTTATGTCTTGTTGATACATCTTGTGGAGAGGTCGGCCAAAAATCTGCAGCTGATTTGAAATGAAAAGTAAATGTCAACTACTCGATATTGGCAGTCAGGTGAGCTCTCTCTCCTTTTTTAAGGCCACGTGCACTGCTAGGTTCATGGGTTATCAGTTCTGTCTTGCTTAAAAGCCCACCAAGAATGTTCTTGACTACTACAAAACAAAAACAGCCGAAGTAAAGTGATTAAAGAGAAATTTCATTATTTCTTTGGGTTCTGTGTACTGAAATGTCACAGGGAACAGATTAAAAGTAATTTGAAATCTTAAGAATTATTATCAGTGAAATGTTTCTCATTTAAAATATCCTGGAGCTTAAAATGTCTTGTGGATAAATTCAGTCACAGTCTTTCTTCTTAGGTCAGTAATGCTAACAGTGTTGAAAATAGAATATTTAATCAGATATAATTTTGGTTGCTCTTTTATTAGTAGCAGTAAAGTAAAATTGTATTTTATTCACTAGCATTTTCTACACCCAAGTGCCTAAAAGATTTCATTTTAAGTGTGTATTGATTCTGTAGGCCAAATATTTATGTTAACACAAGGGGGAAAAAATGCTGTGTATTTTCCAATAATCAAATATTAACATTTATGCTTTTGTGTTTGAAATTTTAATTAAAAGTATTTATTATAAATATTATGTATGCTTGTCTTTATGTATTTTGATAACTGACATTTTTAGAAACTGCTGATTTTTTCCTTAGATTTAACCTCACAGTGATCCCAGCCACCAGAACTCTGAACCTCTGCCCTGAGGTAGGTCTTCCCCTGCTGGTTGTAATGTCCTTTCTGGACAACAGGTGGCAGGACCTCCAAACAAGTGAAGATGATCACAAGGGCGTCAGCAAGACCAGGGGAGGGCTCGCTTTGGGGGAAGTTGGGGTGGGGGAGAGCAGGCCTGGAGAAGCGTCCGAATCTGCTGACATGAGTCACTGCACGCCAATATGCATCCCCAGAGTACACTGACATCACTCTGTGTCCCCGTCATAGCCTCTGAAGTTGTGACTGCTCTCTGAGCCAGTTTCTGTAACAGGGAGACAGCTGCGGGATTTAGGGTACCTTCACACATGGGCTTACACAAATTCCATAAATGCCCTTTGCCCTCTGCATCCTCTGCCATTTACTGCCTTGGCACCACCTGGAAACCTGTTAGAAATGCAAATTATCAGGCCTCAGCCCAGACCTGCTAATCAGAGGCTGGAGCTGGGGCCCAGTGGTTGGCCCTCCAGGGAATTCCGATGGCCCTAACACGAGGACTCTGTCCCAGGGCACCATGCATTTTTGCATCCAGCAAGAAGCCCTTCTGTTTTTCTCAGCCATTAAGTGTATCACATTAAACACAAATAAATGGCAGATGGCTTGGCTGAGGACAGCATATGCCAAAGGACATGCTCGATTCCTCAGCACCCACAAATCAGGCTTCAGCTGGGGAGCCAACATCTGTCCAGCCCAGCCGCCATGCTGACTGCCATAGAGTCATTGGCTATGTGCCATGCGTTTTCATTGCTGTACATCTTTAAGGAGAAACATTCAGAGGCAGCATTATAGTGCATCAGTACCACCTGGCACAATCATAACAGGCACATGTGTTCAGAAAAAGATAAAAATGGCCTACAAAGGGTTAGTAATCTCAACACCTGAAAAGCAGCATATTCCTCTCCACTTAATATTTTGAAATTCTTGTAAGCTCTTCACTCAATTTAATCGGCAAATACTATGGAGCCCTAGCCTCCATGTGCAAAATGGCAGAGAAGAGTAACATAAAATACAGCCCCTAGAGTTTACAGCATTACCAAGGTATAATTTCTACATGGTAAAATTTACCTGTGCTGAGTATACAGCTGGGTGAGTCTCAGCAGGACTACAGAGCTGTTTATCCCCTGCATAGCCCAGTTTTGAGACACTTCCATCACCCCAGAGTTCCCTTGAGCCCATCTTCAGTCAAAAATGCTCACATCCCCAGCCCCAGGCAACCACTGGCCTTCTGTCCGTGACATTTTGTCTGGTGTAGATTTCGTACAAATGGAGTCATTTGTGGTCTTATGTGTCTGGCTTGTTTCACTTACCCACTCACTAGTTAGGAGTCAGCAATCTTATAAAGGACCAGATATATAATAAAGATTTTAGGCTTTGCGGTAGTCAGTCTCTGCCACAAATACTGAACTCTGCTGTTATCCATTCATCTGTTGATGGACATTTAGGTTATACAGTTTCAGGCTATTATGACTAAAAAACTATTCTGAGCGTTTTGAAATGTGTGGGCATGTTTCCATTGCTCTTAGCCAGATACCTAAGAGTAGAAATACTAGGTCATTTTAGGTATGTGTTTACAGTGCCTGATTTATTTATTATTGCTATATTTGGCTGCTGTATTGAGGTATGCTTGACCTATAATTAACTGCACATATCAGACAATTTGATGTTTTGACATACACATACACCCATGAAACCACCACCACGATCAAGATGGGGAACCTCTCCATCACTCTCCAAAGTCCTCTCCTGCCCCTCTGTGATTCCACCCTCCTGCTCCCTCCCAGATGCACACCCCCTTCCACCACATCTCCAGAACTCTGATATGCTTTTAGTCACTATATAGTACTTTGCATCTTCTAGAATTGTATAATTTTTTTACCTTCTTTCACTTAGCCTAATTATTACTTTGAGATTCATCTGCATTTCAATTCCTTTTTATTGCTGCGTAGAATCCCATTGCATGAGTATTCAACAATTCTGAGGTATGTTTCTAGTTTCTGGCTATTTCAAAGCATCTTAGAACATTCATATCCAAGTCTCTGTATGGATTTATGCTATCATTTCTCCTAAGTAGAAAGACAATCATCATAGGTGTATATTAGTCCTTTTAGAAACCGACAGACTTTTCCAAAGCAGTGGTACTATTTTATATTCCCACCATCACTGTATGATTCCAGTTGTTCCCATTTTTGTTAATATTTGGTACATCGGTCTTCATTTTAACCACTTCAGCCGGCACATGGTGGTATCACAATATGGTTTTAATTTGTATTTCCTCATGTCCAATGATGAACATCTTTTCTCATGTGCTTATCTGCCATCTGTATAACTTCATTGATGAAATATCTTAAAATCTTTTGCCCACTTTTTAAAAAACTGGGTGGTTTTCATATTGGTATGAGAATTCTCCACATATTCTGGAGCAAGTCCTTTATGCCATATAAACTTGCAGGTATTTTCTCTCTGGAGCTTGTCTTTTCATTCCTTTAATAATGTCTTTTGAAGAACAGAAGCTGTTCATCTTAAAAGAAGTCTAATTTATTAATTTGTTCCCTTATGGATTGTGCCTTTGGTGCTATATCTAAGAAATCTTTGCTTAACCCAACGTTTTGCTTCCTGAATTTTAAGAAATTTAAAGAGTTATTTTCATAAACATAATCCATCTATTTGCCCCTACCTACACTCTGGTTCAAAGGCATGTTTTACTTCCTTTTAAAATCTCCTTTTGGTAACCTAAATGAAAATAGGAGATCCCTCCAGGGTGCGTTGGGCAGTTGAAGATAAAACAACTACATTTTAACAGCCAACAATAGCCCTATATATGCCAACTGGAATGATCTCTAAAACACACTAATAATTGTAAAAAAACAAGGACCACAACACTGTGTATAGAATGTACTGTGTTTAAACATAGGAGAGAGAGGCAGCTATTTGCTTTTAGATGCATAAAATACTGGAAGGGGACAAAAGAAACCTGGAGTGGGAGTTGTCTATACCTTTGGGTACCTTTGCATTTACTTTCTTGTGCACTGAGACTAATTCATACATCAGAAACCCAACTGACATTGGGTGATATGCTTAGCTAGTAAGTCCGCACACCTGTTACTTCTGTATAGAGAATAAGGCTTTCTTCCAGGGAAGGATATTCAGGATGTCAAAGCAAAAGGTTTATCAGAAAGTTTCTTTGTTGAGAAATGAAAATAATTCAGACTTGAACCCAAGTGTTCATAGCATCTTTATTCCAGCCCCCACCTGGAAAGAACCCAAATGTCCATCGACGATTATGAGTGGATGAACAAGCTGTAGTAATACATCCTTACATCAGAACACTGCAATATAAAGGGGCAAATGACTAAAGCTGCACCATCGGTGACTCTCACGCACAGCAGGCTCAGCTAAGCCAGACCAAGAGTGCCTAGGATACTATCCCTTTTATGGATTTCTAGAGTAGCCAAAGCTGGCCCAGTTCAGTGATGCTTATTAGGGGCTTGTAATACTCTTCTATGTATGTGTGGATTTTGTGTGAACTTTCTGATAACTGAAGGTATTAAAAACTTAAAAAAACAATCATCCCACTGAGCTTGGAAGCAAAGACTAAGACCAAGGCTGCCTCCTCCAGGCAGGAGCAGGAAGCCCTTTACCAAAGGCTTGCCTTTCCACTACCAGTTGCCTTACAAATCAGCCTGGAAAATTAAATCTTCTCTTAAGATAACCCTTCCTGACGTTCCTGAATTTTCCAGGATTCTCTGAAAAGCCAATGTCATACAGCTATCTAGGCATTGTTTGTGTGATGTCAGACACAGGAGAAGCAATTACTGGATGTTACTAAGGGTGGACGGCTATGAATAGCATCTTTTTTTTTTCCAGACTTTGAGTCAGTTATAATTTTAAAAGCATTTTTAAGATGTCAGAGGCAGTGCTGACGTGAATTTTAACCCCCCCCCCACTCATGCATTATAACCTCTCCTTTGATGTAGACATATCCTTGGCCGTGTATCGCAGGGTCTGAGCCTCTTTCCTGTGGCCCTTCCTACAAAGCAAATGATGGCTTCAGGAGCTGACTAGGGGACACTGAGGCCTGGAACCTGTTCCAAGGGCAAAAGCATTTGCTCCTAGATGCTCATTAGGCATCTACCCAGGGTTTTCTTTTTTTTCTTTTTTTTTTTTATTATAGGGTTTTCTTAATGTGTTGGAAAGTGTAATTTGAAGACAAGGCAAGTGCCTATTGTTGGCTGACAGCAGTATGGTAACTGTAGACAGAAGAATCTATTTAGAAGTCAAGGTGTTCTCTTCCTGGCCTAACTGCTGGCACATTTATCCCCTAGGACTTCATGTTAGTGTCTCTATATTTCCGTGCTTCAAAATGTGAGTTGACAGTTTTGGCAATTGAGAGTAAAAGGCAGTGGTGACAATGGCAAATGTAAAGTGGGTAAGAATTACGGCCTTCCAGACCAACATGGGGAACCGGGTTTGGTGTGGGATATTGGCACTTTTTCAGGGTTACAGAGGACAGGCATCTGAACTGAAATTTCCATTCTCAGGATTAATTATTCTGGGCTATGTGCCTGCAGGAGGTACTGTGGTTTTGCTGTAAGTACACACACCAATCTCGTTGCTTGCACAGCAGCAGCTGACTGAGGCCAGGGCAAGTAAACAACCTATTGAAATGACCCTCCTGGGAAGGCTTCGTTGCTCTTGAGAGTGGCTTCGGTCTTTATGGTGGAATAACAGCTTTAGTACTAACACCTCTCATCAAAGCACTTGTGAAAGGAAAGGAGCGACACAGCAGCAATTCACCGGAGAAATCCGCTTTACTAGGGAAAGGTGCTGGGTTATTTGAGAAGGGGCATGGGGTGATTGTGGTGTTACTTCTACGGGG